CTGATTGTGTTACGTTGTATTCATTGAATTACAATAAAATAACCAAGTAGCCCGATTATTTAACACAATTTCACCATATTTAATGCTACCTATAATGTGTTTTTTTTTTGTAGTATGTTTACTAGTTCCGGATCATTGGACCGTGTGAAAATTTGTCATACTATTTTCTAAGTGTTTCCGCTGACAGCCAGAGTACCAATTAAAGTGTTTCCACAAACTTGTCACATGGCAAGTGATAAAGTATATCACACGTCATCATGAACGTCATCAGGTCAGTGTATCATGGAATTAATAATGAGAATACACCATCGGATTTTTTCTCGCTCAAGCTTGACTTGCCAATACCGTGTACCGACATAATAAATATAGTTCCACACGCTTAGTAAAATAACTGATTGTTTCAAGCAACCTATTTTCGCTGAGGGCGCACTTTAAGAACATTTCACTGCATGTGTACATGTACGAGCATCGCCCTTATTTATTATAGTAGGTTGGATCGGTTGCAGAAAATGCTAAAGACAAATGCATACAGTACCTCTTGGCCGAATGTGTTTCCATAAATATATTTAAAACATGATGAACACGTAAGCCACGTATACGCGTTAATTTGAGTCGTGCCCGGACACAAAGCTTTCATTGAAATTTTATGGCTCAACACACAACTATAACTACAAGTATAATATTTGTACTGGCGGATTTATGCGTCTTTAACTCCAGTGTACATTTACAATTAACTTTTAAATGTCAAGCCCTGTTTGTCAACTGAAGATTCTCGACGTCTGGCACAGGAAATTACCGAATTATGCTTCGCCATACTGACGTCAATGTAACGTTACTGTCAGTCGGTTGCGATAATGAGTTGGTTTCAATACTGATGACATGTTTGTCATTCATGCATGGCCAATTATACGACAAGCAAACAAACATCGCACCTAAAGCTAAAACTATATTTTATGTTGTGGTCGGTGCACGCGACGACATTCCACCGAATGTTGTCAAATGACGAATGACCATTTCGTCGAAAGTCAAAATTATCACTACATCATCGAAATGGTCATTTGATGAAGTAGTCCTTCGCGACGAAATGTCGTAAACCCAGTTGTGATTGTACTTCATTCGCGTGTCAAAAAGTTTAAGCACCGAAAAAATAGTGATTGCTCACTTTTTGTAGGTCAGTAAAACAAAAACGAAGGACGTATACGTAGCAATTTTTACCCGTGCAATTAGATAGTATGTATTCCTCCATCGATTATTTCGTCTACACGCATTGTTGGAAGTGACAGTCTTGGCAGATTCTCTCTGTCACTATGTAGTAAATATATATTTTTAATTTACTCAATTTTCCAAGATGAATTATACATTGGTATTTTCTATAACCGGTATTCTTGAATGTTATGCAGGGGTTTAGTTGTCTCAAAATTAGCTTAGGATATTTGGTCTAAAATTGCAACTAGCGTCATGGAACATTTCTGAAAATTTGCCACATGCTGCGTGCAAAATAGTAAATTTAACAGAAAAAACTCAGGCAACTTGTCTGAAATGACTGAACAAAATTACAACATATTGAGAAAAATACTAGCAAATTTCTAGATCACTGTTAGGGTTGTGCAATTAGAATAATGAGACGTCACGAGTTGCAGCCATGCGGTTTATCCGTGCTGTATTTACACTCGTTTGGTACGTGAAAATACGGCCACAGAATCATTGACACGCCGCACCACTCGTGAAAATAATTTCACAACTGCCAGATCGAGGATTGATGCATATGGTAGACGTTTGATGTTCTCAATTCTCACATTTTCTAAAACTAAACAATCCAAGACAGCACCCGGGGGGGGGGGGGGCAGGGGTAGCTGGTACAGTTTTACGTGAAATAAATAGGACTTTTTACAATTTACAAGGAAAAAAAAGACGTTTATACAGTTTACAGTAAAAACTGAATTGTGTCATCTAGTCGTTTTACAGTTTCGAAAAAATAATCTCCCTGGATTATTCTGTACGACTTTTTTTTATTTTGATGTTAATTCTTGTACGTACCGAGAAAAATTACACATTTTTACAGCGTACGAAAAAAATATTTGATTGAATACGTTGTACGTCTAGCCTGTGATTACAGAATTACGGAATTTATTTTTTTCAATTTACGTTGTACGAACAAAAAAATATTGCAATTACTTTGAACAAAAATAACCCTTGCCCCCTCCCCCCTCCACTCAGTATCTCCCAGACCATTAATTGTTTCCTGCCGGGCTACAATTGTGTGTACTATCATCGTCCCGGGCATGAGGTCCAAGTTTTTTAGTTGGTTTACTAGCCACACAAGCATACCGGCAACTATGAATCCATAGCTCTCATGGTGCCTCTTTCGTCATTTGTGGAATTTTCGGCGAGATTTTAATTTTCACCACTTTTTTGCTATTTTTGCGTTTTTGTCACGTATAAAGACCCACAGCTAGTACTGTCACACAAGCACAAATGCAATGGAAATATAGACACCCCACCTTTAATACGAGGGCACGGACACTATAGGAAGTCTGATAACGAATTATTAACACATCAATACTTCACCACATTTAGGACACAGTTGACTGTGGGCGACGTATCTGGACTCCTGACGTATAATGAACAGATGGGACAGAATTCGCACTTTGTGTAACCATAGACAGTATACTATACTATACTGTTTATGGCGTAGCTTATGGTATAGGTAATAATAGGTGATATATATTTGTAGATGATAAACTTGTTTTCGTCCCCTTTTTGTGAAACATGTCTCTGGTGTAGACTGTCGCATTTGTAGTTGTTTTTGTTAAGTTCATAAAAATATATAAATTCTAGCTGTCCGTTTGTGATTTGGACTAGTATTGCCTTATGACTGTGTGTGTGTTAAATGGAATATTCATATCTCCTACATCAATGGTACAGTCGCCTCCAAACCGATTGAAAACTATTAAATTATAAATACTAGTATACTCAATTACCGTATTTTCAGAAATGTCTGTTTGAATGGGTTTTTCATACGAATCATTTAAGTTCTCAAAATTTCTCGAATGTTTACCGCTTTGTTACATAATATATGGCAGTCAAGTGAGCACATAAACTTGCTTGGTTTGGTCACAGTCCCTCTATCCCTCTATAGAGGGACTGTGGTTTGGTCATAGAATTTAAGATCTATTGTTTGGTTGTTTTTTGTTCCAGTACGGTGGCAATGAGGTGAACGCCGTCCTGGTTCGTAGTTCCACGTCCGGTGACAGGCAATGTTTTGACTTACGATGACTGTAAGATGTAATAGAAAACGTAAAAAGAAACATCAACGAGAACAAAATGAAGACAGGTAATGTTATCAAGGAACAGATCAAAGCAAACGCCAACTTCACCCATGCCGTAGTCAAATTCGACAGAAAGTACCAAAAACGGTAAGATTTCTCCCAAATAACTTGACCAAGCAAACTTACGAGCCGCTATGGACATAGTACTCGCGTACACACCCACACAGTATATTCAGGTTCCCACAAGCAACGGTTAGTATCATGGTGGTGTAAATATCGACGCCCGGAAAACTGCAACAAAGTGTTGGTTGGATGGGGGAACATGGCAACCTAGCGGACGTCTTTTTTTTTACTGAGCTCTGTAAAAAAATGTCTCAGTTTTTACGAAATATACTCACCACTGTCCTCATTGTGATATTAGGTTCTCTCGACTATCCATGCTGCCGATAAAGCCAATCATTGCAAGATGATATGCTGTGAATGTGTAAGTGTCGTCTGCTACAGCGGCCATGTTGTTTATCTTACTCAATCAATGACGTCGGCTCAGAGAGTCTCGAACGCGTTCGAAGATCTCGTTAAAAACTCAAGTCATACATTTCGTGAGAGTTCACATAAACTACGGATAAACTGGAAACAATCAAAAGATTTTGAACAAATTGGACATAATTTATCATTGGTCTTGGTCATTTTTTTAGGGGAGGGGGTAAAATATGAAAAAAAAAATATGTAGATTTATTTTGTGAATATTGACAAAAAAGTGATAGGGATAAAAAGTGCACGTAAGCTGGCCAAGTAGGGCTAATAGGCGAATACGCAATAAGCGAAGAATGTGGTCAGATATTCAGACAGCGCAAGTCCCGACAAAATGTTGTTGAATTAAGGCGGCGTCTATTTTACTTGGTCAACATTGTGTACCGACACCGTCTTGTGGAATGTTCTTACATATTGATTTAAGTGAGCATTGGTGCGATTCTAGTTGAGAATAAGCTGCCACACAATCCCTCTTTCAGATCAGAAAACTAACACACAGGAACGATGGGGTTGCACACATACCGAAATTTACGTTGTTCAACGTCGATAATTCGTCTCGAAAATCTAACCAAGACGCCGAGAAGAACACCTAAAAGATCCACTCAGTGTGTTTAATGGTACAAACATTGGCACTTTTTATTGACACTAGGTTGACGTTGTCGGAAATGACGTTGTTTGCGACATGGTGTCAATGAACGTGGGGATAGAAATATACATCGTCCGTAAAAGGGGTGCACTCACTGAAAGACATGAAAAGTAGAGATCTAAATTCATGTTATATAAGTAGTCAATTTACGAAGACATATACATTGTATATTGTTACTAAATCGTTAAAGCGTCCCCCATCCTTTCAGCCCGCAAAAAAAACAAAAACAAAACAAGCCCACGTCAATAGGAGGCCCCCCATTACCGAATTTCTGGATCCGCCAGTGATACTACATTCGTCTGCGCGATTTACCACCAGCAAACAAATTTGAAAATGTGCCCTCTGTAGGCAGAATATTGCATGCTTTTGTCTTTCTTCGCCGAATTATGGTTACTCCATGTGTAGTATGTAGCCAAAAAAGGAAACTTACGCAATATATCGCATCCCATCACCCTATAATGGCAGCAGAATCAACCAGATTTACCGAAATCTTCAACTGTCATCTCCCCCAATATATTTTATCTTATACCCATAGCATATGTCATGTAAAAAAAATCACACGATGAGATCACCATTAACATTTCGCAGAACACCATTTTATTAAACGAAAACCACAAAACACATTCACAGGTGTAGAGGATTTCACCATTATTCCGATGGCACGTTGATAGTTACATTTGTATATTACATTTATATATCCCAATTGAAACTTGTTGACAAAGTTTACACAAACAAACAATTGACAACATTGCTACTGGATTTTACTGACTAAATGATTTACCAATTTCCCCCATTCCACGTGTCATTTGTGTACATAATTACATGTTTACGGATAATAAGCAATTTTTGTATACATTCATTTCGGTCATTGTGATAGTCCCGGCGACATGTACCAATTTTCTTAAGATCATAGTTGAGAACTTCTTGCTGTTATACTATGCCCTCAACGATCAAAAGTTAAAGTAAGTAAGTACAAATTGTCTATTGCCGCATCATGGACCCAAATAATAGGTCATACCATAAGCAGAGGTCTTAGTTTATGGGAGCATTTTATTCACTCGACATGCGATGGTCCATTTGCGTGTAGTAATAATTATGCAAATGTGACATGCTGAAATATCAGATAATTGATTGTAGTATCAGGTGACACAGGGGGGGGTATAGATGTATAATTAAAATTGAATTACTTGGATATAGCCAGACATGATGAAACAGGAGATTACAACATGTATGAGCAAATCTTTGCTGAATTATCGTATTTGTACAAATATGTACATTGTATTACAATTTGCTAAAGAAGCATACTGATTGAGCCGGCTTGTCCATGTCCTCTGACATACACATGACGAAACTGACCACGTACTGGAGACTATTGCACAAGTTCAAGGGCGTGTCCATTTCCCCCCTCGTCCCCAACAACGATGCGTAACGACGGGTTGTGCTGAATGGTTGGCCTCGTACACACTGTAGTTATATTGGACTTGGTTGGAGTAAAGAACAAGCCAACATCGCAGATGTCACCCGGGAGCTGTTGCGATGAACCTGAAAATGAAAATAAATATTTTTTTATATTAAGTTTAAATGTAATATCATCACTTACTTATTTTTTTATCATTCCATGATTGTGATAACACGGCAAGAGTAGCTGTTCTTTTAATCGCTTCACGGTAGGTTGCCTAGTTTGAGGTGCGTATTCACACTGCCTGTATAACTGTAAAATACTTTATTTTAGCTGGAATTAATTTTCGCTGAAAAACCTTTTGGGTGTTTTGTATGGAATTTATTTTCACTGATTTATATTTAATTTTACTCAACGAAAATAGCGAAAATAAAGTATTATCATGGAACCAAAAATACACTTTAGTTTAATGATAATATCTAGATACTAACTGAAAAGATAATATAAATATAGATGGAATAATGACACTAATCAGCAGGTCGAAATTAAAATAAGTTATTCTAGAAAAACGATGAGCCTTTTTTTAATATCAAGAATGTGAATACTCTCAATTAGTGTCCGGCATCACAACACTTTATTGACTCGTGATTCATCAGTCACAATCAATTCCCGCGTGTACTTCGTGTCTGAAGTATGAGAACGATGGGCTAATCTGCACTGGCTCGGAAGGTTGTAAATGATTAGCTAGTTTGAATTTGCATAACAATACTGACAATGAACGTGCATTCAACGCCACAAGTTTTTTTGTTTTTTTAGCCAATCAGAATTCATCTTCCGAGCCAGTGCAGATCAGCCGAGAACGATTAGTGAAATGAGGGAGTCTTATTTGTGTGCTTCGTTCCCGGTCATGCTATATGTATTGGTAATCAGAGAGATGGGGGCGTCATATAAGGCACCAGATATAGATAAAAGATAAAAGACGACTAATACTACTCGCGGAGTCTATAGGTTTCACAGTATAAATGCGCGAGGGCACACATTCACGAATGCAACCCCCTCTATTCAATCCGTCAGACTGCTTTATTTAACATAATACCATAATAACCAAGCCTTAGATTGGTGAGTGGAATTTTAGTGTACAACAGCTGGTTTTGAAATGCCTGACTTTCTACTCAGTGGGCAAACATTTCCATTATTGCCAATATTAGTGCAGCTAAATCGGCTAAATTTGTGTGACTTTCAGCACTATGGTGATGATGTTTCAATTTGCGATTTCAAAAGCTAGACAAATCAGTAGTATGTAATATAAGACATGTGTGATATCAATACGATCGTTAAACTTAGAAAACAAACAAACATGAAACTTGAAATTTTGACGAAACTCTCAATGCGAGAGATTTGAATTGGACTGTCTATACTTGATTTTAATGTGCTAGTTCGAGGTGATGTTAGTTAACGGAAATGATGTAATGATATGCAGAATTGAACCACTGGTATGTCAAATAAAATCAACAAAGATGCTACCATTGTTTATTTGTGGATTATCAATAATGATCATCAGGTAATAAAGAAAACAAGACCAGAATTTGAATAATTGTGAGCGAAAGCCTAGTTGACCTTTGGTGGAAGCGTTAAGTTTTCAGTGTTATAACAAATTGTCCTTTTTTTTTACTGTTTTTGCACTACAATTTCACCATAGGTTGAACATTGCTCAAATGTTCACCCTTTCCTTTATTTGTAGTTCCTTTGTTCACTACGTGCTAACCCACAAACGTCTTGAGAGGTATACTATTACCTGAAATTCTCATTATACAGGGCAGTGCTTCATTGGAAAGTGAACCACGATTTACAATATATTTATGCATATACATATACCATAGATATATGTGTATTATACATACCTGGACATTTGAGTTGGTTTTTGGTAATGGGTATTTTATGTCTTGTTGTGGCGTTAGTCGTATCTGCCGTCCACTGTCTTCGAATAGATATCTTCGGCAATTTTTGTTTTCTTCCATTTGTGTCATCGTCCAGGAATATCTCACACACGTGCACCACGTCCTTTGCCGCGCTCAGCAAGTATCTTGCATCGGTTGTCATGGAGATAGATGTTATATCGGCGTTGTAATATGGTAGGTATTCTGCCACCACCATCTGCTGTACCACGTCCCACAGCTGAAATGTGGTCAAGAACATTCTTGAAATTACAATACATGAAGCCTACTAAAAGTGTTTGAGGATATATTTAAAAGGTAGCACATTTTATAAGGCAATCACGTTTTTTTTTTCTTCAAAATTACACCATTCTTTATGAATAGTATTGACGATTTCCGAGTTCTTGGTAAATAAGAATGTTTGAATGAATGGACGCGATATAGAGAAACGTACTTATTAACAGGCCTTTGGCAGATCTGTATCATTCCACACTGAATGTTCATACCCAATTACGTTGTCGAGTATTAATTCTCAATAATCTACATTTTCATTTTCTAATTAATTCGGTTATTTTTGTTTCATATTCACCTGTCAAATTAGTTTGAGATTATTTCTTACAGCTTACGAACCGAATGTCGCATCAACACAAACCGACATTACAGTGCATGCAAATTAGACAATACTGCTAGTTACGTAGTGACACAACTACTAGTATTTATTGGCCTTGTCACATATTCGTGTAAGTACTGCACTGAGAGAACAATACATAGTAGGCAAGTATCAATTCCACAAATCAAATAATAAAAAGACGGTGACTCTATCCTCCTCGTAAAATCCCTTCACATCGAATAACGGCATAATTTGTTATTTTAACTCAAAATATTTACGCCGGTTAACGCTACGAGGCTTCTGTGGAAATCATCACGGCAAACCAAGTAATATTTACATCATATTTTTCAATTTTACCGCCATATTGTTCCGAACACCAGAAGAGCAACATTGCCAGCTAAGTTTCTGTTTGTTATGTGCATCTCGAGATCGTTACATGATTTAGAACTGGTTAGTTCAAACCTCTTTTACGAGGGCTAAATGCGCGTGGTTACAAGCGCTTTGTTATGCATCATACACGCCAGAGACACACCTGCGACTGCTTTCTGACATTTCATACTGTGTCAGTGCATACGTTTTGTTTGGATATTAAACTCTGCCACATATAGCAATTTATACGATTGAATAAAAATAAATTGAAAGGCAATCGCATTGTGGTCTTCTATTTATATTCAACGTATCCGAGTCATCCACTACTTAGTATTCGTTTGACGTCTCCTGTTGAGGTTGGTTTGACACAACTTGTTCTCCCGTTAGCACCGCATAGCAAACCAGTCAGCAACTTAGCTGGCACTCATGTTGTTGTACGGAACAATGATGGCGGTGACAGTAATTTTTCACAAAATGTGATAGTAAGTCCTGGAACTATACATATTGATTTTAGACAGTATTGTGTGAAATGTGTCAAATAACGAGTTTTAAGCGATACTGTTGTGATTCAGGCAATGCACATAATCAATGTAGTTGCCATACTCGCGTGGTTTGATTTTTGAACTCCGAACAGTTCGCATCGCGCGAATGACTTATTTGCCGCACATGGCAGAATGGGTCGTTTGAAGGAACTCGAAAAAGGTAAATTGCGATTGACAGAATTAATGACATAACATTATTCATAACACATCTACATCACTAAACTTAAGGAATAAACAACATCGTATTCCCGCTATATTATGGTAATTATTCTCGGGAGCGAACATCCGGGCATTTTTACTCCTTGGCAATCACAGCCAATGAAAACAACGGTCAAAACTCTCAAAAAACTGTTTTTGGCTAGTAGTTGAGACTCTCCAGAAGAGTTTAACAATTTTAACCTTACATGTGAAACATATATAAATTTGGTTGTTCAGGATTGTTTCATAATTGCGATTTTGCTGTTTTCTCGACTGTTTTCACCAGCTCTTCGACCAGCGTTCCACAGCAGTTCGCGCAGTGCTAGTATAAATACACGGTTCAGTCTTGCGCGTCTTATCAACGTAGAACGTTCTGTGACGTAGCTCCAGCCCCGTACATTAAAATCAAACTACGCATGTCCCGAAATTGAAGAAGTGAATGTACTGCACATTTTTACCTATTACCCCCCAAACCACACACATTGACATATTCGATTGTGTGCGTATGTGGGTTGTATCGAGGGAAAATGTTGAGAAAATAAATAAAACGACACCCCCACACCACTGGTGTTGTTGTTTTGTAATCACCTGTATCGTTGGTCCTGATTTCCCTTCCGGGTCACAGACAGCCGCGAATGTGAACCCGCCATTTACTGCGAACATATTGGCAGTCTGTGAAACTGCCAACTCGTGAATGAACTCGCCCTCATCGGCATCCAAAAACAATAGTCTTTGTTCTTTACCAGTCTCGTCCAATCCAAAACAAGCCAGCGTCGAGCCATCTTCAGTGACCTTCAATTGACCTCCATCATCAGCCACCATCTTAGTAAACTCATACACTAACTTTCGTGTTTCCCCGTGGAAGATTCGGACAAATCCATTATTTGTATGGGTGACACGAGTATCCTTTCCTAATGCGCATATCGTGTTGTTATTGCTGCCGAATACTGCCGATAGCACGGCACCTTGGAAGAGCTCGGTGATTTCTGGAGAAAGTCTCCCAGAAGCAATGTCACATATCTAATAAGAGAAGATAATATACACTCACACTCATTCTAGTCGATAAAACGAAAATATATTTTTACAAATATATATATATATATATATATATATATATATATATATATA